TCTTAAAAAGAAGAAACCTACTTTCTATTTGGTTGTGAAATAAGGAGCGTGCTTAAAAGTCTATTGTAAATTGAGTGGAACAACAGTAAGCAAAGCAATCATCTTGAAGAGAGAAAAATGCCTGAATTTTGAAATATTTTGACAGACATCCAGAACTGACAGCTATGAGGAACATGCAATAGATTTGTGTTCATTGAGCTAAACAGTTGGAAGGACGAGAACCACACAAACTACTTGTCGCAGGTTTCTAGCTCATCCCTCTCAGTTGCTGTATTGATTAAAGACTGTAATCATCTCATCAGCATCCAGGTCCTGCCCACAGTGCACTGAATGTTGCTGCGGTTAACATCAGTGTGAGAGATAAAGTGGCAAAAAAAAAAAATCAGAAAGAAGAAACAGTTTATGTTCATTTCGGATAGCCATTTACATATTCACTCTAACCTTCATATTCAGTTTGTGAGCTTTTTTATTAGCATCTTTTTAACACATTGATTTCACTTTAGTAGTCAAACACCATATGGAATTGAATAATCAAACATTGCATTTAAAGATGTTGAAATGAAACATCTTGACTCATTCAGAAGTTTTATTTTTTTGAAAGAGACCTTTTTTCTTTTTTTTCTTTTTTTGTAGACCTGAATATTCATTTTTTTCTGTGGGAAATGTGACCATAACTGATTGATGGCTTATTCCATCTGCTTATGCTGACGTTGGCAAAAGTAGAGGCTCTCAACCAGTGACCAAGGAGTCTGAGCTCCCTAGACAAAGCCCTGTGAAGGAGATATTTGCTCTGAATTTTTGGTACCCTTTAGCTGCACCAAGGAAGGTCCCAGAGTACCTTCCTGTTTTTCCAGCTCTAGAGAGGAAGAACAGAGAACAGGCCTGTGCCCACCATCAGGTCTGGAATCAGGGAGCTGAGGGATGTCAGCTACATAACGCAAACTAGGCTAAGAGCTGGCTTCGGTGTTTGGGGAAGCTAGACACGTTAAGGGTAGCCTCAGAGTGTGCTGCAGTTCTCCTTTGTCCCATGGTACTGAGATAAACTCCACTTAGAGGTGCCAGCCTCTGTTTCACTTGTGCTCATCAGAAAATATTGCTATTTCAGAGGTTTGTTGCTGTCCACTAAGTATGCTATTCAATTATTTTACCTTGAGTTTCACACTCATAAAGTGTTCTGGCCACAACCTATTGTTCTATGCCATCGGAAAGAAGATCCATGTGGCATTGCTCGTATGATTGCCAAGGCTGGGTGAGCTGTTATTTCTCCTGTAGCAGAAGCCATGTACCCCTGGAAAATCACCTATGAGTCCACCCAGCTGGGTTTCTCAGTAAATTGAGGGATTGTTCCATTTCACAGTCAAAAGCCTCCTCCAAAGGCCTTTCTGAGACCATTTCTGGACATGGATCTCTAGCCTACCTCCTCTCTTTTTTACTGGGTATTTAGGTCGTTAGCTGATGTAGTGAAAAAAATTGTGTCTTCTCCAAATCAGTCAGTGCTGGCCTCTGTCACAGATGAGAAAATGGACTATCTGCAATTGCCTGGCAGCTGGTGTCCAAAGTGGCATGAAGCTGAGGTTGAACTGTGGTACAATGGGGCTGATGTCAGAAGCATCTGCTCCCTGGTTCATTTCTCTGTGATGCTGCTCTCTTTGGCCAGTAGCACTGGACTCCAAGTGTCCACCCTTGCCTCTCTACTTAAACCCTACCTGGTGAGCGAGGGTGCTAGTGGGATCTTTTCTGTCTGTTATTGAATATGGAAGGTACCCACATCTGGCCCACAAGTGTTTGGATTTTCATCTTTTCATGAAGGTACATCCTGGGGGGGGGGGGGGGGGGGGGGGTTTGGGGGGG